ATTTAGAACTGATTAGATCCAACAAGGTCAAAGAACATTATTTCCCTGTAGCCATGATCCTACTGCCCAAAACGTAAAACCACACTGCTAAAATATTACTACTACTCCCCAAGATGTCTCCAATAGTCGCCATAAAATGTGAATTTGTATTAAAGCAATGGAAAGATGACAATCATCACTGTACAAGATTTACAACATGGTTTAGCAGAGATGCGTACTCTTTGTTTGAGGAGAACCACTAACAACCCAGGTGTTTGCAGCAATAGATGCTTGAACTGGACAGGAAAAAAGTTTAAAAAGTCATGTTATTAGTCATCCAAGAATGTGAAGCATTAAGGATTACAATAAATTGACTAATAGAATTTACCCTTGGGGTTGATGAATTGGATGACTACATCGTCCTTGAAAATGTTAACCTCCTCAATAGCCGGAATGGCATTTACCCCAATTCTCTTTAGGGTGCTCTGAAGCCTTTTGTCATCAGTTGTGGTGGTCTTATGAACTGCCTTCTTCTTTCTATTATCAAGAACAATTGTTTAAGAAATAAAATTTCAACTAATGGAATAACAAGGTAATGTTTTTAATGAATTACAATGAAGAAAAAAAATTAATACAATGAAAATTATAAACTTTTTGACACATACAAGACAGTGGAATATGAATGACACGAAAGAACTTATCAAGTGCAAGTTACCGTAAGGTTAACCAAAATGGTTTCTTTGTTATTCCATAACCTGAATAAGACTTAAATACTTGAACTTCAAAAGTCTTGTCAGGTCAGACTGATATGGTCAAAGCAACGAGCTAGACGTTTCTATTGTGACATGAATTATGGCTTAAAAGAAGTTCCTATTAATTGACCCCATTTAATTTGTATTTGTAAAAATAAGATTAAATTAGTGCGAAATGCGGATACTTGCTTATCAAGTTATCATCAACATGGTGCAAAATTGAAATTACCAATGATTCTTATGGTCATCAAAATTTTTGGGCAAATAATCATTTTCTGGGAGCTCATCATTCACAAGATGAATGCCACTATCATCCAAGCTTCAAACTGTTCCAACAATAAATTTGCAATAGATAATGGATTTACCTTCTCATAGTACCCTTCCCACCCGTGCGAACAGCACTAGCAATCTTCCTAAGCCTCTCCTGGTCCATCTGTATGACACCGAAAAAGAATTGAATAATGCCAATAATAAATAAGTCGTAAAGCTGTATAGGGGGAGTTCAGGTATAACACGAACAGAATATTTCAAAAAATAAAAATATAATAGAAGTAAAACCCAAAAGCTACGAGAACGAGCGAATTCCCATCAGAACGGGAGTAACACTCGAGTTAATAACTTTCTAGGCAATATTTATCTCATCCACTGTCAGGTTAGGGACAAATATGAACTGAAAACGAGAATGCAGAAACAAAACAACCTAACTGATATTGAATCGGCATAAAAAGATTTTTGATAGTACCAAGTACTGACCCCGCACTGAGCAGACAGACCATTAAAACATAGAAATGTACTAAAAACGAAATGCAGCAATCAAAATGTCGATTAGTTCTAAGAGGCTTCCTAATTATAAAAGAATGAGGAAGAAACGAATAAAATGCCTTAACTTAATCTTAGAAAAAAAGTTTGGAATCTGAATGCAGAAGGCGCAAAGGATACAATCTTACAGGAGTAGAAAATAATCGGAAAATATGAGAAATCCCTAGAGTGCAAGAAGAAAGAGAACCCGGGATTAATGAATCGATAAAACTTCGACACGACCCACAAACCCAAATATGAGTAAAGATTCAAAAAGTGGCCGACAAAAGAATCTAAAAACGTAGCGGGAAAGGAGATGAAAGACAGAATGGAGAGGCGAGGTTAGGAGAGAAGGGTGTTATTTACCTTGGGGCTAGGGTTTTTGAGTTGGGGGATAAGCTCGCGGAAGAAATGCAGACTCCCGGACGGCGCTAACAGAACAGATTGTTTTGCCCTTTCGCTCCATATAATAAGAGATTGCTAAAGCTACGAACCCATCCATCAAACACCAAAAATAAACATGCTCATCCGACGGCCCATACATCACTTCAAATATCTACGTGTCACCCTTTTACTGGTGCGACCATGGTTATTCTTATTTCATCTAAATCGGTTCCTTGAAAGAAGCAACGAATCCCCAACTGGACCCTAGTGGGCTAAAATACTAGATCGAGCTGGAGTTACTTGGGCCAAGCTCCAAATTATATTGGCCCAAAATGACTAAATATAACTAGCTAAAGTATAGACAATTTTTCAAATCTTAGCATGGCCCTACAATAGTAGTTTTGAAATTCACAAATGGCCTAGCAACAACATACAAGTTGGGCAAGATGAGTTTGACTTCACACACCGAGATCGAGATCATAAGTTCCAATCCCTCCACTCACACTTGTTTTATCCTTCAAAGAAAAAACAAAACATACAAGATAGAGATTCAAACTTTGAACTTGTTCAAGTAGGCACAAATTACTATTTTTAAAATGCTACAATAATTTTAAAAAGTAAGACTACTGATCCATATATTTCTCTCTACTCGGACACTTGGTAAAAATTATGGAAATTTAACAAGTTTTTAATTTGGGTTCTATATATATATTATCTCTTCCTTTAAACATCCAAAAAAGTATACAAAAATGTCAAACAAAAACATATGCGCAACATCTTATAGTTTATATCGTATTCCGTTGACTTTCTTACTTTTAGTGAAACACGTCGGAAATCAAAGTGATATATAAACACCACAACTACTAGAGTTTACTTGCGTATAGTTGTAGGAAATTGTTTTTTCAATCCTATGGTTTCATTGAGCACATCATTCATTGAAATTTTTATTTGAATCATTACAACATTATTCAATAAAATTTAAAAAAAAAATGAAAGAAAAGGCTTTCCATAGCTGAGGTTCAATGTCCCTGTTAAAACAGGTATGCGTTCAAAGACTAAAATAAATCATACTTCAGAAATTTAAAATATTTTTGTCGAAGTCTAGAAAATTTATATTACAAGCAATACTAAATTATTTGGTGGGTGGGTGGATTGTTGGAATAACCTTTAACCATTTACGTTAATACAGAATATTGATACTACCAAAGATTCGCCTTCTCATGTTAACTGGTACGACAATTTGGCCTATTTGGACACACTGTAGAAGAGAACACGATTAAAGAAACCAAAAAAGTATTTACAGTCACCTTGATACTAAAATTTCATCTTTGAGTTTAAAAAGATAACAATACAATACAATGAAAAATACAAATCTGAGGCATGGGGTTACTAAACCTGTTACTTGGGGGAGTGAAATGAGAAATCCCTGAAATCTTCAGAGTTCCATCGTGCGAATGCCTGCCACAAACAATTACAACATGAGCGTTATGGGATACACAAACAAGACGGTTAACACTCCAACAAGAATGTGAAACGATCACCAATTCATTTAAATATGCAAAGCATACTAGTTTTTCACATTTATGCATTAAGAGCATGGCTGAGTAGTATATGTAAAGCAGATGACAGTATGCGCCACTGAGCAACATGTGCTATTGAGAAAATAATTCCAATGCAATTGTCCTCTGTGAGACTCAGTGATTATAATGTAATAAAATGAATTTCAACCAGCGTGATGTTCAATTAGCATAATTCCAATCTGCCAACCTTTGCATTCCTCAAGACCATACAAGAAAGTAATTCTTCTTTAACACAGAGATATGTTATGCAAATTGCGTAAACCACAACTGTGCAATTCGCCGTTATCCGTGTAGGTACGTTTTCACTGACACTTATCCGCCCAAAGAGGTGGTTAGACCTACACTTGAAGAAAACTGGAAGAGGATTGAGTAGTTTACATTACAAGATGTGAGGTGAAAAGATGATTATCAGAGAACTACGAACTAGTAAAATGAATTTGAAAAAATAAAGAATAGATACCAGGCATCCAAGTAAAAGGATTACTGGTACCCTGACTTTCAATAACAGCACATAACAACACCCAAGATTCTATTTCTGCCAGTGCCTGCCATGTTTAAGCACCTTTCTTATGGCACAATCTAGAAATTCTCAACACTAACCAGTAAGATGACTAGGTTTCAGCAGCAACGAAAGCTGCAAAAATGATGGCTACAACTCAAACGTACAGTTTTTTTTATTATACATAATCCTTTTTCCAATAGGAGTTGGGGCAAAGAAGATGAACACTAAGATAGAATAGGCCCCTCATGCCCAATGTACACCTGCTGCGGTATGATGAGCCAGTTAGAGGTGCCTAAAGCTCCAAACTTTCTTTCCTCCGTTTATTATCTTCCTTTATTTCCTGTTGGCTTAGGCTATGCCTAATATTAAGTTATACTGTCTCACTTGGCATATCAAGCAAAAACCATACGCCTCAGAACACCTCTCTCCAAAGGCACAAGCTAGCCATAAACATACAAACAAGAATTTCTTCCCAAGAAAAGAGATCAGTTGGATGTCCAAGACTCATTGATCTCCATTTCCAATACTTGAGTCAAGGATAAAGCAGAAACATTTGAACCAATACCATAGCGGTGTAATACACTACTAAGGAATCTAGAAAGTGATAGTAGACGAATCCTACGGATTCAATATGACTATTTCATGACAATTATTACAGAGGATATTTGTAATTTGACCTCATTTTTATACTAACAAGTCAGAGAGCTCCTTATCTCCCTTTTTGGTGCAGGGTTATACCTGCACCCCTTGCCTCCACTCTCTCTCTTTTTTTTATAACGAGGAGTCAGAGTTTTGCTCCCCTATAGCCAGATCCACCCACACCCGCCCCAATGCCCTTGCCTCCACTTAATTACTTTACATCAATCATTTACAAATGTTTGTTATGATTGTTTTTGTCTTTCAAACTAACAAGTTGGAGAACCGCTCTTCTGTGATCTCCAATCTCTTCTGTGGCATGGCTAGACACCTGAACTACCTTGCCTTTGTACTTGAATGGAGGCGAAAGATATTCCTTAGTCCTTACCAAAAGGTAAATTTTAAATGTAGCCTCGATAATTAATAACGTTGTTAATGACTAAGACCTAAGAATACAGAGTGTTCAAAACCAAACGCCTAGAAAAGCAGGTCGTGCAGACTATATTTCTTTGCCTTTCTTTAGGAGTGGATCAGAAATTCGCCAACGCAGATCCAACTTCCTGTACTCCAATAGTATAAGACTGGAGGAAATTTTGATGACCGCCTAGGGAATTAGGCAACAAACTTCTTCCTACGTATATCTATTCACGGATTCTTAAAAGAGGCAAAAGAAGCAGAGTGAGAAGAAAAAAGTAGAAGAAGAAGAAAGAGACTCCCCTAACTAAATTCAGACATTCTCCCAATATAAGGCACATTAGAGAAATATAAATTTCGTGAAAAATCAACACAGAACCTAACTCGTAAAATCTTAATGTCTTTAATCATATTGCCACATCTAATTGGAAACCCTGACCGAACTATTTATCAAATTCAGGCGTGAAACTATGGGATTTCGAGAACGGTGAATGCGGAGGCAAACCTGAAGCAGAATAGCAAGAGAAGCGACCTAATTATTTACAGTAACGATCCGCCTTCTTTTTGACGCGGTCATCGAGAGCTTCCTCCACAGACTTGAACTTGGTATTGGAGTTATTTGGATCGTAACCGAACTTCTTGGTCTCCACGGGGAAGAGCTCCTCGTACTTCATACGCTTGGCCGCGTCAATAGTATACACTTCTCCGTCGCCGCCATCTACAGCATCAGCCGACGACAAAATTTCGGTCTCGTCCGTGGGGTTGTCGTCACTTCTACTTTTGTCTCTCTTCTTCTTCTTCTTCTTCTTCTTCTTGTCAATGGCCTTGCTGCGGGAGGCCAAGACTCCTCCCTTGAAGGTGAGCCTACCTCCTTTCGCCCCAGCAAATGGATCCGACATCGTAGCGCGTCTTCACCGTCCTTGGAGGTCTGCTTGATACTTACGGACGGAATGAAATGATCGCCGTTTTGCTTGATGCTCGCAGAGACGACGATGAGATCGTCTATGTTTGGGTATCTTCTTTTTTCTTGGCCCAATATACCTACTAAGGGCCACAATTTTTTAGGGCACGTTTCACTTTGAAATTTAGAAAGTGCGGTGAGTTAATTGCAGGGAAACTTTTTTTCTTTCTACCAAATAACAATGGTGGAGAATGGGGATTCAAAATTGAATGTTTAGACAATCAATTTTAACTGTGAGCTATACTCGTATTGATAATTTTAGTGACACTCTGCATAGCTCAATTAATTAGAATGATTATCTTTCGATTATTAAAAAATTTGTGAGAGTTTAAATTCTCACTCTATATATTATTTGTTAAAAAAATACAAATAAAAATCTGATTGATTACAAATACATCAATAATATTATAAATTTGTAAATATGTTGATAAAAAAAATTCAACCTAAATCCAAAAATAAAAATACTAAAATAGTCTTCAAACTTCTATATTAATGATAGTGTCTCACATATAGACTGATAAATATAAAAGAACTACGTAAAAATGTCTACATAGCTAGGCATATATCTTTCTAATTATCATATTTTATTTACAAAATCATTATAGAGTTACTATTTTCGTAAAACGAATTTTAAAAATTTTCCTTAATTTAAACTGTAATTTTGTATTTCCGTCAAATTAAATTATTATTTTGAATAAAATGATGAATTTAATGTTGTGACTTATTTAAGTTTCCATTTTATTTTTTCTACTAAGATTTTCTTATGATGTAACTCTGTAACTTTGTGAGTGTTAGATGTTCTAATTATGTTATATAATTTTTAGTCGAATTTGATTGATCATTCTATTACTAAGTTTTAAATATATTTTTAAATAACTAAATTTTGTATATTTAAATATTTTCATGAGTGAGTTTAGTTAGAGTTATAAATAATTTTTTAGATTTATCATTGAAGATGTATTAGTTGTAGTTAATTTGTCCATTTGAGCATACTCCAACACCTATTTTTAATTAATAATTCTTGAGTTTGCTTTAAAAAAAAAATTATTTAAGTTTAATGATCAATTTAATAAAGAGTAATTTTTATAGGTAGCAAAAATATTTTATATATTTCAAAAAATGTCATCAACTTTTCAAAATTTCAAATATAGCAAAATATTTGAATTTTTATTTTTAAATTTTTTATTATTCCAATTTTACCCTGATGATATCTAATATATATCTGCTGTATATCTATATCTGATATACATCCAATTTATAGATGATATATATATGATGTATATCATACATCAAATCTATATCTGATATACATTTTATGTAAATTTGTATATGATATACATCAAATCTATATCTAATGTACATGCGATGTAATTCTGATATACTTCCAATATACATTCGATGTACCCCTAATATACAGTATAAGATATACCATGATATAAATTATCAAATATACCATTGATACATCAAATGTACATATTATATATATATATATATATATATATATCTATCTATCTATCTGATGTACTTCTAATTTATGATATACTAAATATAAGTTATATCAAATGTTTAATTTTTAGTAGTATATTAGTTATTTAAATTATAGTTTATCATTTCAATTTGTTGATTAATATACTAATATTATCAATAATGTTGATTACTATATCACTACTATTTATTCAATATTAATATTAATTAGATACTAAATATAAGGAATATCAACTGTTTAAATTTATAAAGTACATCAAAATGTTAACTTGTCTTTTTGGACATGCATGGTCCACATAAACCTTTTATATAATAACTTTATATTTCAAAAATAAAAAATAAAAAATTTTGCACTATTGTTTTCATCTGAAAAAGATATTGGATATAATAGTATGATATCGACACACATATGATATAAAAAAAAGATATCAATACACATATAATAGTTATATTAGTAGATATAATGGTTATATCGAAGGTATATAAGTGGTAAATTAGAAGCATATTAAGTATATATTAGTGTTATATTAGTGGTAAATCATATAATCATATAATAAGTTATATTAGTAGATACCATAGTTATATAAGTGGTATATCATTTGTATATCAACGGTAAATTAGAGACATATCAAATATATATCACATATATATGTATTGTATTAGCATGGTAAATCAATAGTTATTATACGTGTATATCAGTGGTAAGACATGCTAGAAGTTGAGTAGATATCATAAGTAAATCAATTGTATATCATTATTACATCAGTGGTATATCAGAGATATATATCAGTAGTCATATATATTACAGATATATTAAAGGGCGAATTTGTAATTTTACAACTGGACCTCCGTTTTTCTGAAAAAATTTGCTTTGCTATTTTACTTATTTTACTAAAATTTTTTACCATATTTGCAAGTGCCCCTTTAATTAAACTAAAACCAACTTCTTGGAGCAAGGATAAGTGAGGGATAAATGAAAAAATTTCCGCTCAATTTTGTTTATTTAATTATTAATTATTTTCCCCTTTTACTTATATAGGGTGAAGTAAACGTGGCTCTATTTAAAATTTTTAGGATAAATTATATTTTTGTGAATTTAGATAATACTCCATCCTCAAAATCTTAAGTATAGTCCAACTAATGTTAGTTTAGCAAAAAATAATTATTTTTCCAACAATTTCCAGGTCAATCTCTTTCTTGTAGATCTATAGAGATCGAATCCGGTGACTTTTATATAAATGATGTATAGACTTTCTTTTCAAAAACATTAATCACCTTATTTGTCACGTAATATTTTAGATAAATTAATATTATTAAACTTTGAGGCCACTTATGGATGTACTCAAAATAATAATAATAATAATAATAATAATAATGGATGAGTTGGCGTGTAAAGTCAGACATACATCACAATTAATTAAAAAATATAGACTCGGTGTATCCGAATGCAACTAAAAAGATAATTTTATTTTTTCAAAAAAATATTAAATTTAAAAATAATTAAATCAGCAAT